TAACAATCAATATCATAACATTCAACACAAAAAAAGAAATAAGCAATCAGAGATTCAGATTTCAGAGGCTAGCTGAGGCGGACCTAGAGCTTGGAGGAGATGGGCTGCAGCTGCAGCTTCGAAGTCGGAGACTGTAGGAGTTGGGGCTGCTGCGGAGTCGGAGAAGAAGGGCAGTGGAGCTGGATCTTCGAGTGGAGAAGTCGATGGAGGAGTTGGAGCTACTGCGGAGTCGGAGAAGAAGGGCAGTGGAGCTGGATCTTCGAGTGGAGAAGTCGATGCAGTGGACTGGAGAGTGGAGTCTGTGGTCTATGGGTTGTGTCTGTGGTGGACCGGTGGTATTGTGGAGACTGCCTGGTGAGTGAGATTTGTTGGGGGGGGGGGGAGAGCTGGAGACGGGAAACAGGGGAGATACAGAGAAGGGGAATGGGGGATTTGGGAGAGAGAGAGAGGATGGAGACGGGGAGTGGGGGGGAGAGAAATTAGGGAAATCAAAATTTATATATATATATATAATCAAAATCTTGGGGGGGGGGGGGGCACTTGCCCCCCCAGGTCCGCCCCTGATTCTATTAAACTAGCGCTTTAGGGAGTGTTTGAGCCACATTATTTTGAAAGAATATATTTTGGAATAGTAGATTGATAGAGAATGTGTGGTTGAAAAAGAAGGAAAATTGTTGATGTGATAAAAAATATTATTTTATTGAAGAATGTGTGATTGAAAATGAACCCCCTGTTTGTTTTGTATTATTTATGGGAAAGAATGAAAAAATTGACCCTTTTTTTCAAACATTGGGTTCCACCATGTGAGACAATGGTCAAAAATTATAGGCTACTAACGGTCATAAATCTAATACAAATGAATGATTAATGCTAAACAAACAGACCATGAGTAGAAGAATGAGAATGAAAATTTTAATGTGACTCAAATATGGACTTAGTATGTTGCCGACTTGACTTGATATAAAAGACACACTGTTTTGATCAATTGCCCTTTGCCATGTAACTCGTCATTCTTCTAACAAATGTCAAAAGTGAACTAAAGAACGAATCAAACTTTTGTGTCTGTAGACAAAGGTTACGGAAAGGGGTTGGAAGATATTAATTGAATATGGCCTCCATATACTTAGATCCTTAATACCTTAGTTCCCGTTTGGCTCCCATTATTTCATACTATGATGAGAGAAATAATAATTTTTTGAAAAATATATGATTAAAAAAAAAGAATTTTTTTTTGAATTTACGTGTAATATTATTTACTGAATAATGTGTGATTGATAAGAAAATAGAAAAAAAAGAATTATAATTTAATAGGAAATAATGGGACCAAACGGGGACTTAATATCAGCAAAAAGAAATTCCAATACCTACGTTGTCCCAAAAAAAACACATTTTTGTTTAGTTTACTAATCATTTTGAAGTAAGAATTCAGTTTTTACAACTATCGATATCACAATACTTAGCCGTTGTTTGGATACTTAAAATTGTTAATTAAAATCTAAATCAAAGTTAATAATTAATTTTAATAACAAATTTATTAGGATTCAGGACTTTCAACTACATATTTAATTATTTTTTATTAAAATATACTAAAAATCTAATTTTTAACGAACTGGACTCATTCTAAAGATACTCTAAAATAGAAGTAACCTCATATTTCTTTTCATTTTGACACTTGGACATTTACCCTACTTTGTCACTTAACACTCTAAAAATACGTTGAACACTGAGAATTTAGGCAAAATATGGAGAAAATCATTCCAAGTGCCTGTTCGGTATAGCTTAAAATCCAATTAAAATTGAAAATATGGTCGTTATTGGGTCTCACTCGTCTAATAAAAATCAACAATAACTGCTAGTTTTTTAAGTTTAATCCAATTTTAATCTCTATCGAACACGCCCCAAATATTATTTAATAAAACAACCAAATAATAATACCCCCTATCAAGAATTTAAAGGAAAACAAGATCCTCATTTCTTTCGAAATACATTTTTCTGTCTCTTCTTTTCAATCACACATTTTTCAATAAAATAACATTACACGCAACCCAAACAAAATTCTTTCATTTTTAACAATGCATTCTCCATTAATATACTATTTCAAAATGTATTCTACACAAAATATGGGGCTCAAACAAGCCCTTACTATTCTAAACGAAGACAAACTTAGGAATACTAATCTAAAAAAAAATATCTTACTAAACTAAACAAGGAATTAAGTTATATTGACAATAAAAATATATAATAAAAGTGACAATCTAACGGCTTAAATGACGGAATTTGGCCACAAAAAGTGTTATATTGAGGATGGAATTCTATTAGAATTATGCTACAAGTACAGGAAAAATTCACAAATTTTTGCACAGACTGTCTGTCTTCCAGTGCATAAACTTGTGAAATTTTATTGTACCTGCAGATTTATTCATTCTATTATGCATAGTCGTTTGATTAAAAATGATTCAATATGCACATGAAATAGCATATTGAAGACTAAACTTAAAAAAATAAAAATGTATTTATCTCTACCAGCTTTAGCTTATATGATGCGGTTGAATATATTTGCATATATAAGAAGAATGAAAACAAAATAACCGTGAAATTATTTTCTATTATACGCTCTTACAGGCGTAGATCATTAATGAGAATTCATCTTTTTCTTCATCCAATTTCTCTTCTAACCACAATCTGCTACCCATTCCACTTCTTGTTCTGAACAAAAACACTGCATAACCTGAGGCTGCAGGATTGAAAAACCAATCATGAACATCCCACAAGAGATCGACAAGCAAACCATCAAGAAAAATAATCTGATTTCCTCTAAAATTCCATTGTAGCCTCTTTACACGAATCACCATCTTCTTATCAATACAAACTGTTAGAACCGAATGCTTTAGGCCTTCGTTTTCTCCACTGCAACGTATCGAAATATCATGAGCAGCGCCGTTTTCACAAAATTTAGCCTTGGTTGAATATAGGGAGCTGCCAGAAATATGTTCTTGCCGAGAAACTAAAGAGAATTTAGCCATTTGAGTACCGGAGTTGAGCTTTTTTATTGATGCTTCTTCACCCATATCACCAAGAATTAAGCCGAGTTCAGAATCAACAGTGAGAAAAACATAATATCCATCAACGGGTTCAGGACCTGTGTGGTATCTGGCTGTTGAAAAATCCCAGAAAACTTCAATTTTTGAGTTGTCGAATTCAAGGGATTTACTGCCTTTAAGCTTTCTGAATAACCTCAAATTGGAGTTGAGTTTAATGGCAGTTGATGGATCATTACCAAAGGTAATATTTAGGCCTTGAGAAATATTATTCTTGTACCATGTGGCTGAGATCAAGAATTGCTTCTGAGTAGAGAGAATTGTTCTGTAGAGACATGTGACTGCATTTTGAATTGAAGGGATCAGGCCAGGAGACGTGCAAGAATTTTTTGAATAACTAGAACATGAAGTATCAGATACCTGAACTGTATATTCACTAAAACAAGAAGCAAAGTCTCTCATTGTGAACAAATTTGGAAGAAAGAGAGAGAGAGAGAGAGATAAGTTAGGGATGGGGAAGGATCTGAAAGAATGCACTTTATATTGACCCCTTGAGAAGAAACAAAAGATGGATATGATGAGTGTCGGATCATCTTACCATCTTATCTAATAACTTAAGTTTTTAGAGACAAGATTAATGTATTGTCTTTAAGATGCGCCTTACCTGCTTGGTGAATTTATTTGTTCAGCTAATACACGTACACAATTTTTATAAAAGAGTGCCAACGAGTTTTGAATGCAAAACTTTTTTACATATTGAATCATCTCAATTAAAAGCTCAAAGTTTTTATAAACGAGATTAATTTATTTATTCAAATTTTGTTTTCACCATGCATCATATTTTCAAGAAACAAGTAACAACTAACAAATGCTCAATTTTTATAAATGGGTGACAATTAGACTTAAACTAATGATCTTTGTCTGCAATGTAACATTGAATTACTTCATATAAAAGCTTAAGTTCTTATCCACAAAATAAATTAATTTATTTAAACTTTGTCTTTAACAAACACAAACATGCAGGCAATATTCTAAAGTGGAATTTCAGAGAAAGCTTTTTTTTTTGATAACCATGGATGTCTGGGCCAGTTTACGCGCACCTCAACTAATCTCACGGAGCCCTGAAGTTTACGGTCAGGTACTTACCTCAATGGCCATGAGGGGATTCGAACTGGTGATCATTGGGGAACAAAATTTTTTTTTGATAACCATGGATGTCTGGACCAGCTTACGCGCACCTCAACTAATCTCACGGAGCCCTGAAGTTTACGGTCAGGTACTTACCTCAATGGCCATGAGGGGATTCGAACTGGTGATCATTGGGGAACAAACCCAATGACTTATCAATTGATCAACCCCTCAAGACTGAAATTTCAGATAAAGCTAAATGAGAGGAAAGGCCATGGAAATTATCCAGTTTGCTGACAGGCCATTTTTGCATTAAATATGATTCCTTAACTGCTCTTTCGCCTTAAAATTTGCGTCTTTTGACCTAAGAAATTAACCTCTTAACTTTGAGATAGAAACATTCTTTTTTTTATTTATTGCCAGTTCATCTCAAACTCAAATATTGAAAGTTTAGAAAAAGAAATTGAAGCATAAAATATTTAAGGAGCACAGCTTTTTCAAGATTCTTGTTAGTTGTTTGTTACCCTTATATCTATAGTTGACTAGAATATATAAACATTATGAAAAGCCATGAAGCTTCACCATATGCTAACACAAGCATTTATGTACTCAAAATTGTGTGTGTAACATACCTTTTAATTACTTTTAGAGGAGGTGGGCTGTGTTAACCATCTCAAGGACATATCTTTTAAGTTAGACTAAAATTGTTTTTCGATCAAATAAGTGATATTTGCACAAATTTCAAATGAGCGACGGAGAGACTTAAAGTAATTCAAGAAGTGTTTTTTTTTACTATAACATCATGTGAACAATCGTATTTAAAAAGCTTCAAGTATTAGAGAACACTTGTATTTATTTAAATGTCATTTCCTACAAAGCTCGACTCTGACTTGATTATCATAATTTCACATGCTCGACGTTCGATGTTAAAATTAAAATGGTAATGTAAATATCAATTAAAAATACTGTCTTTTTATATCCATTTAAATTTTATGACAAGATGATTCAATAATAGCAATAAATACTTTTGTTAGGGTTGAACATATGTAGCAATCCAAAGGTAAAAAGTGTTGGTATTATTCTATAGTGTAAACTGGATAATCAAACAACCATGTAAATTCTTTGTGCCCTCGTCTTTTAACTCGTTCTATTGAAATCGTGCCACTCCTATGAGTCGGGCCCTTTTTAGCTCAATGCAAAACACGCAAACATGACTCGCGAAACATGCCAATTTTAATAGGGTATTAATCAGGGCATTGAGATTTTTGGTGACGATGAGATTCCGCTTCCTTTCCCACGCGAAATTAAAGCGGTTTTAAAATCCCACCAGCTCTTGCTCTCCCAACACGCCTATGACTAAATGCAAAGGAATAATGTAAGCTTTTTTGTACGTATTCCCTTTTCCTTTCTCTTTATAGAGAAAGCAATGTTAAAAAAAAAAATTGTGATATTAATGGATTCTATAGCTATTCTTTACGAAAAAGTTAATTTCCAATGTGAATGGACGAACTTCTAAAGTTGATTATGATAAATCATATGGTTACAGTTGGGAAAAAAGTACTTTACTTATAGATGTGAATCATGAACCCTTAAATGTTATAGTCAATGAAATCCTATCATATCCCTTTGAGCCTCCCTCCCTCTCCCCTTCAAAATTGCATTGAGACACAAAATTGTATAAACCTTGTCGCTCGTTCGTTTAGGCTACCACGACAGTGTATTCCATCTCCCCCTATTTATCGTTGTGAGCAAGATATGACTCATTTGAAATTTATACGGGGAAAGCAATAATTCCAAAAAGAAATCTGACCAAATCATAAAATGCTCATGTAACCTCTCATAACACAATTGAATTTTCAATCTTACGATTAGGACTCAATTCGCCCAAAATATGTTTTGTTGAAGAGGTGCTGACCTAGTAAAAAGGGCAATTGATGTTGAAAGGTTGAAATCTGCATACAATTACAAAAACGAGACAAGCACTGATGGTAACACAAAAAGCTAAAAGGAGAGAATCAATACAAAAGACAAGTATCTAGAGGCTCGTGGTCTGTTTGCCATAATCATTTTTTATACTCAGCTTTAATGATATCGCTCTTTTTAACAACTTAACTCTTAAGACAAATTATTTCAATGGTTGTGAGCATAAAAATTCATATAAATATTGATTGTTCTATTTTTTATCTTCCTTTAAGATTAATGAGATTCGATAAGGTGTGTTCGTTACATTTCTTGCTTTACGCTGCATCATAGATCTTTACGAGGGCTAAAATAAATGATAATTAGCACATAGCGTCCCCACATTTCACTACTATTGTGGAAAACGTCATTACCTTTCATTTTTTAGCATTTTCACTCTTATTTCCACTTTTCATTGCGCAAAAGGTCTTTTTCATTCATTTTCTCAGTTAAAAATTGTGAAATGACGAATATATCCTTATCTTTAAATAAAACAAAAATAAAAAACTAATTGCAATCATAATCTCATTTTATGTGCTATTTACCCCTAAAATAAACTATAGCCAAGAGTAAATTTTGGGTCCAAATTAAAGTTATTTTTGGGTGGTTATATGATTACGTTTTTGTTTGTTGCACCATATTTTAATTACAATAAATGTTCTTAATCTTTGCTCTTGTTTACATTTATATCCCGTCTTTTTCGTTGTATTTTTATTCTCAACATCCCATTAATTAGTATATATTTTTCCTACATGATGGCTTCAGTCCAAAGAATTCATAAGGACGGCGTAAACAAATGTACTTGCCCCCCATATCGTTCATTAAGCAAAAAAATAATACATAAAAAGTTCAACAAAATATTTGTCCCTTATTTAAAAGCACGGTAACAAAATATTGACATAAATCAATATTCCAGAGAAGATGCGTTAATGAATGGAAATTTGAATCTAAGAATGCGACAAAAAAAGTTAAAGAAAGAAGTGCAACAAAGAGCAAAAGTTGAAGACCTTCACTATAATTAAAATGTTGTGCAATAAATAAAAAACATGGTATCAAACACAGTGTCATTTATATTTACCTCATAAATAATAATAAATAAAAAAAAGAAAGAAAGAAAAAAGTGGTAATAAGGGCAGCCACCAATTTTTTATGTCGAAAATTGAAATGTATTGCTAGTCAATACACGAATGATAAATACTGAGTATCTCTGAAAAAACTCTTTTTTATTTATAAAAGAGTACCTTAGAATATTTTAAGAACAAGGAAACATTCCATGATAAAACACATCTTTAAATTCAAAGTAATTTTAAATTGATGTATAATGATTGATCTTAACAATTAATAGATGCCTACAATCCAATATTTTTCAATTTTTATTTTCATTAGTGTATATATGTAAATTTCTCAATTTTAGCTTGTATTAAAATCTAACTCTAAAACTGCCCTAATTGACAATAAAGATATAAATAAATAAATTCCTCTACTTTAATTATAAAAAAATAACTTTTTATCTATTTTTTATTTCATCCAATAGTGTTATTCATTCTACTCTGTTTTTAATGATAATAAAGTAAAAATATGAAATGGATAATGGATACGGAAGTTTAGGGTCTGTTCTCTTTATCATTTTCAAACCGTTGCCTGTTTTCGATTTTTCAAAACAGTGAAAACGTGTTCTCTTTCTTATTTTCAAAAACATGTTTTTGAAAAAAAGTTAAAAATTTACAAAGAAAATACAAAACGACATCGTTTTGGGTGTTTTCAAAATACAAAAAAGAATACATTTTCAACAATCTCAAATTGAACACTCAAAACACAAAAATCAAAATGAATTCAAAATTCAAAATACAAAATACAAAACTGAAATATAAAAAAAACATCCCCTAGTAAAAGAACATGTTACAAGGGAATTATATTTTATTTCTAATTAATAATGACTTAAATAAATGATGTCTTTTATGTTGGAAAGAAAAATCATTGACAGTGAGAGGTTGTTTGGAACAAAAATGACAGGCTTTTTATTTAGAATTAAATATATTATTTAGGAAGGGAAATACATAAGATGTTCGAATATTATTTGTTTAGTCAATTGTGACAAAAAAATGCAACACATTTAAAATTATTTTTCATCATTTAGCAATTTAAAATAGTTTAAACGTGAGGGCAACAATTAAAAAGATGTGGAAATCTCAACAAATTCAGTAGAAAATGCACCCCCTTTTTTCCTTTCTTTTACTTAGCTGATGAACACAATTATCTTAACCTATTGAACGAAATATTTTAAGGGCGTGTCCTGTAGAGATTAAAATCGGATTAAAATTGAAAAACTAATCGTCATTGTTGACTTTTATTAGACGAGTGAGACTCAATAACGA